CCAATGTATCTAAAGACCAAGGAATTTTCTAAAAATCTACCTAAGAAGTTAAACTCGAACAGACCTTTTTCATAGAATAATATGCAGTATAATCTTAATAAAACAGCCAAAATCACAGCTTTTCGTAGTTTTTCTATCAAGTATCATATTTGAAAAAATAAACCCGATCACTTTAGTTTTCGATGAGTATTAGTACAAAGTGTGCGATCGCTGTATTATAGCGTCCAAGTTTTCGAGAAATCCCGCCGTGGACCGCAGAACTCCTCCCAAACTTTATTCAATCATCAAGTTTTAGTCAATATCTTGTACACCCTTAAAAACACCTACTTAGCCACAAAACATCTCATCATGCATTGTCGAAAGTGTCTTCGACAAAAGGAATATGATTTCAATCAAAATCTGATCCTCCATGGTGGAAAGTGACTTGTAAAGGAATGTCGAAACCGATGTAATGGAATGAATGCCTTTTTCAGATGAAGAAGGAAGATGATTTTATGAGGCTGACAGAAAAGATTAGTATAAAGACAAGCATGTGAAAGTTAGCAGAAAAACATATAGACAAAAATTAGAACAAGGACAATAATCTAAAAATTAGTATAACGACAAGCATGTGAAAGTTAGCAGAAAGACATGTAAGCAAGAAAATGTTGTTAGGAAATTGATCAAGAGAATTAATTTTTTTGGAACAGTTGGAATATTGTCGGTTGCATAGGTTGAATAGGAGTTGCTGGTGATTGTAATAAGCGCGTGATTGGTTGTGTTGGAGGAATAGTGGTAACTGCCGGTGCAAGTCGAACAGGTTGAGTGTTAGAAGAATACGGTGGTGAAAGGATAATGCGGCGAATATAGTTCCCCTGAAATGAGAATTGAGTATATTCGTTGACAGAGTAGTGACATAAAGGCCATACACCCTCCTGATTTTACTACCGTTTTATATGATATGTTCAGCAATTATGTATCGTAAAGACAAGCATGTAAAAGTTTCTGAAAAGACTATAAGCCCTTTCTATCCTGCTTTCACGAATTGTGGATGAAAGATTTACTCAAGCAAACAGTTACACTATTTGAGAAGATTTTTCGAATGAAATGACAACAATCTTCAGTAGTTTGAGATCAAAGTAGATTCTTGGAGTTAGAGCGAATTGTTTGATTCTTTCTTTAATCATCTTATATTGTGAAAATGAGGAAAAAGTCTCAAGAAATCTGGTATGTGTTGGTAAATTTAATACTAAAAGTCAGAACGCGCGTAGCATCTCTCACTATTTTGTTAATGTTTTTCTTCTACAAGAGTTTCAAGACGTACTTTTCCATCACACGGTTTAATCGTTTTCTTTTTAACAACGGAGACCTATGGATAGATTGAAACGGTTCAATGTGTAAAATTAGAAAATCTTAATTCATACTTTCTTATTCTTTCTATCCCATTCAGTTGGCTTTTTTTTTCCTAACATTTTTATACCAGCAGCTGATTTAATGGCTTTTTTCAATGTTGCGCAATTTGCTTTTAGTCAGAGTTGTTCTTCATTTTGACGATAAAACTGCCTATATTTCAGACAACTATTTCAACTGTAATATTATTAGGTGGCCTCGTCTCATACCTGTAAAATCATCGAGCTTAACTCTATGTTCATTTAACAATTGATCAGCTAATTCAGACTGTGACAAAGGTTTTCGTTTCTCATTATTTTGCTGATCATTTTCATTTTGGTTCGGTAAATATAAGCTTTTAATTTGATTAACAACGTCTTGCGGCGAGTAACTATCGAGCAACGTTAATAAATACGACGGCTTTTTCAGTCGCTCGTATTCATGCTTTATCCGATACCCTAAATCAACAACCATCTACCCTGAAAATATCAGCTCAAACGGTTTTAATTACAAGGGAATGTTCTCTCGCCTTTAACATGCACTTTATCATAATCACATTTCTTTTCAACTTCAAACTTTTAAGTTATTTTATTTTAACTACATCCATGTGACGTTTTTTCCACTGGCAAATGCTACAGATGATGAAAAACTAGACAGTAATAGCAGACCAGTTTTTTGCGCATGTCTTTCTTTTACCTGCAACAGTCCGAAATGATATTAAAGATGCAAAACATGGGAAAGACGCCAAAAACCTGCTTTTGATGGCAATATCTAATATCATAGTCCAAACAGATAAACATGGGACAAAAACTAGTAGACAAAAATGGGATAAAGGCAAAAACCTAAAAGTTATGGTGGAGAGGTCATGTTTTGACGATAAAATGTATGATCTCTCCGCAGCATCAGGAGGAAAGAACGATATGGCTGAACTTGCGGACACGTAGTAGTAAGAAGGAAATTAAAATTCATGGTTAATATATGAAAAAAAGATGTTTAGTTCAGTTTGTGATGGTAACATTTTTCTGCTATAGCACTATCTTTCTACTAATGTGTGAATGAGCATCACTAACGTGCTACTAACCATTAACATCACTGCTATGTTTTTGCATGTATATTCACCCTTGGTTTTCATGAACTAGATGTACAGATGCGATACCAGTAAATTGTCGTGCAAGAAAACTGAAGAGATTATCGGAAACAACGAGTTTTTAGACAAGTTGCCTACTATTGTACAAGGAAACACTGTTTACTGTTTAAAGTTGACTGACGCTACTAAAGGTAATGTTCTCAATAGGTGTAAAGTGTCACCATGTATTGTTCTTTTTGTCCAGAAGACTGGCGTGTGAATCAATTTCAGTGGTCATGTAAAGGTGACAATATAGCAAGCAGCAACAAAGTTCCAAAATTTCGGACACACTATTTGATGTCGAAAGATAAATCAACAAAAACCTTGATAAATAGCGATTGTTTTAAGAAAAAAGTTTATACGTTACTTGAAAATGACAAAATTGTTGTGGTACATTACATAGGTATGAACTGGAATGCGATTTCGCGTTTACCATTTTTTACTATTAATATTCGGTGTATTCAGGTGATCAATCCAAAGCCATCGTAGCACCATTTCCAGCGACACCACGGTCAGTTTTACATCAAATTGATAAACTTGTTGAAAAGCAGGAACCAGCAAAAGTTTATCGCGATATGGTGGTAACTGGTGGCGAAGCAGTTAGTACAGTGCTAAATAAAAAGCAAGTTATTAATCGTCGACAATTATTTTTCAACAAAATGAAAATCTCACATGACGAAATGTATGCAGTTTATCTGATCGGTCACGAATATCGATCGTTTGTGAAACAAGTGAGTGATTCTTTTACTACTTACTTTTCTGTAATATTTTGGTGTTACAGCTGACATTTATTCCAAATGTTGTAATTATTCAAATGCATAATAAATGCATCGAATCATTTAACCAATTATTAAATGTTACAAAAACAGAAATAATATTATCGTACGATACCACTTTTTCTATCACTGATGGTTACGTATCGTCATTAATATATAGGCACGATGCCTTTATTGAGATGCCATGTGTCCCGCTGGGCTTTATGATCCATGAATCAAAATCGCAGGCGACGCATGATTTTTTTGTTAACATTTTCAAGAATCGTTGTCCACTTATCAATAACAAGTGCGTTATCGTAACAGATAATGAGAAATCGTTCAAAAACTCATTCATTAGTGGGTTTCTCAATCTTATTCAGCTACGACGTTGGTCACATTTGTTTAGACATATTTACAAAAGAGTTGTTCGCGGACAGAAAAAGAAGAAAAAATGAATCAAACGTCGAGAGTAACGAAGGTAAGCCTGATATAAAATTGGGACATTATCTACCTCTTATTTGTATAGATGTAGAAGATCAAGCTGACGATTTTGAGGCAGATTAAGAAAATGTGTTTTATGATGAAGAATTTTGTATGAATATTGAACAATTGAACGATGTGGTTAAAGATATTATAACATCTGATGAACAAGTTATCGTTGTTACAGAGACGCCGAAAGATCGAGCACGTCGACGTGAAACATTTGTTATCGCAAACCTGTCGCGAGCAATTTGAATCAGAGTTAGCAGTTGTTCAAGGTACATGGGATGAAAACTTTTTAACATATTTTCGTTCATACATATATCCTGACATTCACCAGCTTGGTAAGCTCCCTTCTATTAACTCTTCTGATATTCGTTGTGTTGTTTTACTCTGCAGTCTAAAAAAAACGTAGTTTAAAGAAACTTAAAAGGTTTAGCAAAATGAAGCTATACTGAATGAATAAGAGTTTAAGAGGTTTCATTACAAAAGGGTTTAGGAGAGGGTGTAGTAGCTTTCCTAAACCCTTATTCGTTCTGTATAGTTTCCTAAACTCTTTAACAGAGGGTTTATTTACTTTTCTCCTTCGTACAGCTTCCGAATAGTGTAGAATCTTGGTATCTGCAGTGGGGTCGCAAAAAACGAAATCTCATTTCACCCTTGTTTAATTCTAAAACTTTCATCCAATGAAGCTGTGTTAGAAGAAATGGAAAAAAAGTATACGAAATAAGCATATCTTTTTCATTTGCGACCACATCAGATGGAGCAAATCTATCTGTTCGTAATGAGACGCCTCTGACTAATATCAAAAATATAAAAAGCTGCATGAACCAATGTACGTAGCAAGTTCTGTGTTTATATATACACTGATTTTTTAACAATTTTCCAACACTGTGAACCTGTGGCTTCTAACAACGAGATCTTTCATAAAAATTTAATTAATAAATTTTTTAATTTTCAAATATTTTCAATAGACTAGGATTAAAGAGTAGAAGATTCTCTACAAAATGAGATGCTTTGAAACTCTGTACGATTTATGGTTATTGAGCTACATGTTAAAGTACTCTGGCACCGGTATTTTCCTTTCCGGTTCCCATAGTACTCCATACGGTTTTCTTGCGAGAAAGGCATGAAAGAAAGTTGCGTGTCAAAAAGTGTAAAAGATTCGTTCGCATTCGTAAACGAATTGCAGAAACGTAGAAACCTAGCAGCCAAATTTCGTATGATCTCTCTCGATATTTGTTCACTTTTTACAAATATTCCGATAGATGAGACTATTGAAATAATCCTTAAGAAATTATACGATTCTGATTCGAGAGCTTCACCATCCATGAAGAAAAATGACTTTAAAAAACTGTTAGTTTTGGCACAAAAAACTCTCACTTCCTATTTGATAGCAAGATCTACGATCAAATAGACGGAGTTTGTATGGGAGCTCCATTAGCACCATTCATGGCTAAGATATTTTTACAAGAATATGAAGAAAAATTTTCTAAAAATTTCAAGGATGTTGGAATTCAATACTTTGTACGGTATGTGGACGACATTTTTGCATTAGTCTCACATGAGTTTCTACCTAAAGATATTGCAACTATCTTAAGCTGGTGCCACGAGTCTATTAACTACACTCATGAGGAAGAATCATTGAAACGGACACTTCCCTTTCTTGATGTGCTCGTTACAAGAACTGCCCACGGTTTCGAAACTGAAGTCTATCGAAAAAAGACTTTCTCTGGTTTATTGACCAGGTGGCACAGTTTCGTTCCTAAACGTTATAAACAAAATGCAATCACCACAATGGCTTTTCGTGCTGTGGGGATCTGCTCGTCCTTCGGTTCTCTCCACAAAGAATTCGATTTCATTCGCAATTTAGCAAAAAATAATGGGTATCCGTTATACTTTGTCGATTCTATTATTGGCAAACAACTCACTAAGATGTACACTATGAACGTAACACCTGCTACCGATCCGTCTACAAGTGAAAGAGTTGTATTTCGTATACCGTATTATGGAGCATGCAGTCAGTCTTACGGAAAGAGGATTGTAGCAGCGGTGAATAGAATTTATCCAAACAAAAATGTTAGAATAGTTTATGATGTTACATCTAAAATAGGCTTAGGTTTTAGTCCGAAAGACTCTGTACCTACTCATTTAAAATCAGGATTAGTGTTGTTTGCGGAGTTTGAAATATGTGATCGTTTCTCCGCTATCTCCATTGTGTTTTGGATTCGAAGAAGAAACAAAACACGCTGTTGCTAAATGTTTCCTAAATGTCCAAGACTATATACTGTCTCTTATTAAAGTAAATTTTTGAAGAAAAATTTGATTCTTTGTTTCATGTATATTAGTTGCGAATAAATCAGTATGTATGGTTGTTTACTATCTGCTTAAAAAGAAAATATTATGTTTCGGTCTAAGTATACAAAACAAAAAACTATGTTTCTTTGATTGACTTCCCTATAAAAAAAATTCCAGTGCGGCACTGGTAAAAATCAGTGCGCACCGGTGCGCATGGCATGCCATCGGTCACTGGCACTGGCTGGCACCAGTGCGCACCCGTGCCCAGCAAGTGCCGAACCAGTGCCGATTGGCACCAGTGCGCACCGGTGCCGATATATTTCTGCTGAAAGAATGCCGCACTGGTAAAAATCAGTGCCGCATGGGTGCCGCACTGGCAAAAATCGGTGCCGCACTGATAATTTATTTAATCAATTTAATTAGTTCTTTATTATGGTTGTTTATGCTGAATTTTGTGTTAGAGTGCGGCACTGATCAGTACCACATCGACATGCCAAAACCATGCGGCATTGCCTCGGCACTTCTCTTATGAGAAGGAAAAAATGAAGTCAGAAAGACATTCGAAATATTAGAAGTAGACCGTAGCGTTAATATAGATAGAAATTGTCAAAACAAAATGGTGATTGAAAACAAAACTTCGGCACCGGTGCGCATCGGTGCCCAGAAAAAATAATTATTCGGCACCGGTGCGAACCCGTGCACAACCAGTGCCGATAAAATATTTTTTTGTAGGGTTATTCATTCGAAGTGTTTGCGACATGATGAGCATCTGTTGGTTCTTGTCCGAGCACCTCGGCATTAGTACAATGCTGGCGGTAAACGCTTCTGTTTTGCGTCTGCCGATAATGTTCTAATTGTTGTTGTAGTATATGATTTCGAACGTGTAATGGTAAACCGGGGTTCAAGAACAGTTCATATGGCAACATGACATAAGGCAAATCGAGAAAATCAACAACAATTTTGATGAACATTGTATTATCTCGAACATAATTATTACCGTCTTGTTGTATCATACGTAGAGGAATAAATTTAGGAATACCGCATGCAATATTCATTTGTGATCGTGGTTGTTGAAATGAATTTGATTTTATATCAGGACAGAATGAATCAAAAATATGACGATTTTGTCCTGATTGATCAAATAAGCAAAAGCTTATCTTATAATTAAATGGCCATTTCAATATTGAATCATAGGCCCCTCTCATCAAGATGAAAAAGAGTGACATGTGTGTTCCACGAGCAGTTCCATCACCGTGTAAATATAAACGTGCTCTCATTTTATATCCAACAGGTGATGAATAGAATGGCGGAGAATAAATGGATGTTTGTCTGTCCGATTGTGCATCGGCTATTTTCTCCCAGACTTCAGTAATTCTCCACATATAAGTGCCATCATAAGATATTAAGTCGGGTGTTTCTTTAATACGTGGTAGTTCTTCTTGAGGAATTTCTTGTACAATAGCAGCAATATTCAAATGGCAGCAAGATTCATATTCCGTCGATGAATGTTGTTCGCCATGTTCTTGTATAAGAGAAGGTGTAGTGGTACTCATTGTTGTTGCTGTACCGTGTGGGCTGTACCCACCTATTTTTTTTTGTACTGCTATAATTAAATCAACCACAGTTTGTTGATGTTGTTCACTCGTCCAGTGATTACCAAACTCGGATCGAACAATCTGTAAAGTAATGGGATTATAGTACGATTAGAAATAATTATCTGCACAAACTTACTCTGTCAACGCATCCGTATTCGGACAATGGGCAACATATCTGTACCTTTGAACAAATATATTTCTTGTGTTCATCTAACTGACTTAATGTAAAAAATTTTTCATTGCAATATTTACAATGATAAATGGTGTGACAATCATCCAAATGTTGCTAAATAAAAATATTTCATCATTATTCATCACAAGCTATATAAATCACAGGATTTTGCTGTTTTAGTATTTACAATTCACGAGATTCTTTAACTGTGTTCCATCCTGAACATTAAACAAATACGTCGTAGTTGACGGTTTGTCTACGTAACGCGTTACGTGACGCTTCGCTGATTAAGTTTTTGGAACTTTTTTTAATAGTATGACCGATCTGAATACATTTCTAGATGCAGTTTCTCACGCTGATTACGAAACTAATGTTAGCTTTCATAAAAGAATGCATTTAGGCCAGCACCTCATTCGATGCAAAATTCAATTCTCTACAAACTGGCATAACTATTTTCTAATTTGCTCGCTGAGAATGAATTGTACAGTTTGTACAGTTTGCGAAGCTGCAAATGACTTTAGAAACTTGACTCTCACGTAGGACAATCAAATAAAAAAAGCGATCAAAAGCGATTTCTTCATGGAGAAAAATTCAAATTACTAAGTGGACCTCAAAAATACAAAAGACCGTCCTCTATAGTGGAATTGACTTTTTGAGCTTGTATTGCAAGATGGAAGGTTCGAACTATATTTTTCTAAGTCAACATTGAAAACTGATTTAGAAAAAGGTTTTCAGCTCATTTCAGAGGTATACCTCTGAAATGAGCTGAAAACCTTTTTCTAAATCAGTTTTCAATGTTGACTTAGAAAAATATAGTTCGAACCTTCCATCTTGCAATACAAGCTCAAAAAGTCAATTCCACTATAGAGGACGGTCTTTTGTATTTTTGAGGTCCACTTAGTAATTTGAATTTTTCTCCATGAAGAAATCGCTTTTGATCGCTTTTTTTATTTGATTGTCCTACGTGAGAGTCAAGTTTCTAAAGTCATTTGCAGCTTCGCAAACTGTACAAACTGTACAATTCATTCTCAGCGAGCAAATTAGAAAATAGTTATGCCAGTTTGTAGAGAATTGAATTTTGCATCGAATGAGGTGCTGGCCTAAATGCATTCTTTTATGAAAGCTAACATTAGTTTCGTAATCAGCGTGAGAAACTGCATCTAGAAATGTATTCAGATCGGTCATACTATTAAAAAAAGTTCCAAAAACTTAATCAGCGAAGCGTCACGTAACGCGTTACGTAGACAAACCGTCAACTACGACGTATTTGTTTAATGTTCAGGATGGAACACAGTTAAAGAATCTCGTGAATTGTAAATACTAAAACAGCAAAATCCTGTGATTTATATAGCTTGTGATGAATAATGATGAAATATTTTTATTTAGCAACATTTGGATGATTGTCACACCATTTATCATTGTAAATATTGCAATGAAAAATTTTTTACATTAAGTCAGTTAGATGAACACAAGAAATATATTTGTTCAAAGGTACAGATATGTTGCCCATTGTCCGAATACGGATGCGTTGACAGAGTAAGTTTGTGCAGATAATTATTTCTAATCGTACTATAATCCCATTACTTTACAGATTGTTCGATCCGAGTTTGGTAATCACTGGACGAGTGAACAACATCAACAAACTGTGGTTGATTTAATTATAGCAGTACAAAAAAAAATAGGTGGGTACAGCCCACACGGTACAGCAACAACAATGAGTACCACTACACCTTCTCTTATACAAGAACATGGCGAACAACATTCATCGACGGAATATGAATCTTGCTGCCATTTGAATATTGCTGCTATTGTACAAGAAATTCCTCAAGAAGAACTACCACGTATTAAAGAAACACCCGACTTAATATCTTATGATGGCACTTATATGTGGAGAATTACTGAAGTCTGGGAGAAAATAGCCGATGCACAATCGGACAGACAAACATCCATTTATTCTCCGCCATTCTATTCATCACCTGTTGGATATAAAATGAGAGCACGTTTATATTTACACGGTGATGGAACTGCTCGTGGAACACACATGTCACTCTTTTTCATCTTGATGAGAGGGGCCTATGATTCAATATTGAAATGGCCATTTAATTATAAGATAAGCTTTTGCTTATTTGATCAATCAGGACAAAATCGTCATATTTTTGATTCATTCTGTCCTGATATAAAATCAAATTCATTTCAACAACCACGATCACAAATGAATATTGCATGCGGTATTCCTAAATTTATTCCTCTACGTATGATACAACAAGACGGTAATAATTATGTTCGAGATAATACAATGTTCATCAAAATTGTTGTTGATTTTCTCGATTTGCCTTATGTCATGTTGCCATATGAACTGTTCTTGAACCCCGGTTTACCATTACACGTTCGAAATCATATACTACAACAACAATTAGAACATTATCGGCAGACGCAAAACAGAAGCGTTTACCGCCAGCATTGTACTAATGCCGAGGTGCTCGGACAAGAACCAACAGATGCTCATCATGTCGCAAACACTTCGAATGAATAACCCTACAAAAAAATATTTTATCGGCACTGGTTGTGCACGGGTTCGCACCGGTGCCGAATAATTATTTTTTCTGGGCACCGATGCGCACCGGTGCCGAAGTTTTGTTTTCAATCACCATTTTGTTTTGACAATTTCTATCTATATTAACGCTACGGTCTACTTCTAATATTTCGAATGTCTTTCTGACTTCATTTTTTCCTTCTCATAAGAGAAGTGCCGAGGCAATGCCGCATGGTTTTGGCATGTCGATGTGGTACTGATCAGTGCCGCACTCTAACACAAAATTCAGCATAAACAACCATAATAAAGAACTAATTAAATTGATTAAATAAATTATCAGTGCGGCACCGATTTTTGCCAGTGCGGCACCCATGCGGCACTGATTTTTACCAGTGCGGCATTCTTTCAGCAGAAATATATCGGCACCGGTGCGCACTGGTGCCAATCGGCACTGGTTCGGCACTTGCTGGGCACGGGTGCGCACTGGTGCCAGCCAGTGCCAGTGACCGATGGCATGCCATGCGCACCGGTGCGCACTGATTTTTACCAGTGCCGCACTGGAATTTTTTTTATAGGGAAGTCAATCAAAGAAACATAGTTTTTTGTTTTGTATACTTAGACCGAAACATAATATTTTCTTTTTAAGCAGATAGTAAACAACCATACATACTGATTTATTCGCAACTAATATACATGAAACAAAGAATCAAATTTTTCTTCAAAAATTTACTTTAATAAGAGACAGTATATAGTCTTGGACATTTAGGAAACATTTAGCAACAGCGTGTTTTGTTTCTTCTTCGAATCCAAAACACAATGGAGATAGCGGAGAAACGATCACATATTTCAAACTCCGCAAACAACACTAATCCTGATTTTAAATGAGTAGGTACAGAGTCTTTCGGACTAAAACCTAAGCCTATTTTAGATGTAACATCATAAACTATTCTAACATTTTTGTTTGGATAAATTCTATTCACCGCTGCTACAATCCTCTTTCCGTAAGACTGACTGCATGCTCCATAATACGGTATACGAAATACAACTCTTTCACTTGTAGACGGATCGGTAGCAGGTGTTACGTTCATAGTGTACATCTTAGTGAGTTGTTTGCCAATAATAGAATCGACAAAGTATAACGGATACCCATTATTTTTTGCTAAATTGCGAATGAAATCGAATTCTTTGTGGAGAGAACCGAAGGACGAGCAGATCCCCACAGCACGAAAAGCCATTGTGGTGATTGCATTTTGTTTATAACGTTTAGGAACGAAACTGTGCCACCTGGTCAATAAACCAGAGAAAGTCTTTTTTCGATAGACTTCAGTTTCGAAACCGTGGGCAGTTCTTGTAACGAGCACATCAAGAAAGGGAAGTGTCCGTTTCAATGATTCTTCCTCATGAGTGTAGTTAATAGACTCGTGGCACCAGCTTAAGATAGTTGCAATATCTTTAGGTAGAAACTCATGTGAGACTAATGCAAAAATGTCGTCCACATACCGTACAAAGTATTGAATTCCAACATCCTTGAAATTTTTAGAAAATTTTTCTTCATATTCTTGTAAAAATATCTTAGCCATGAATGGTGCTAATGGAGCTCCCATACAAACTCCGTCTATTTGATCGTAGATCTTGCTATCAAATAGGAAGTGAGAGTTTTTTGTGCCAAAACTAACAGTTTTTTAAAGTCATTTTTCTTCATGGATGGTGAAGCTCTCGAATCAGAATCGTATAATTTCTTAAGGATTATTTCAATAGTCTCATCTATCGGAATATTTGTAAAAAGTGAACAAATATCGAGAGAGATCATACGAAATTTGGCTGCTAGGTTTCTACGTTTCTGCAATTCGTTTACGAATGCGAACGAATCTTTTACACTTTTTGACACGCAACTTTCTTTCATGCCTTTCTCGCAAGAAAACCGTATGGAGTACTATGGGAACCGGAAAGGAAAATACCGGTGCCAGAGTACTTTAACATGTAGCTCAATAACCATAAATCGTACAGAGTTTCAAAGCATCTCATTTTGTAGAGAATCTTCTACTCTTTAATCCTAGTCTATTGAAAATATTTGAAAATTAAAAAATTTATTAATTAAATTTTTATGAAAGATCTCGTTGTTAGAAGCCACAGGTTCACAGTGTTGGAAAATTGTTAAAAAATCAGTGTATATATAAACACAGAACTTGCTACGTACATTGGTTCATGCAGCTTTTTATATTTTTGATATTAGTCAGAGGCGTCTCATTACGA